CCCAGGAATGCTTCGGGTAAGGATTCAAAGGTAGCAGGGGGTGGCACCGCTTTATTGGCACAGCCGGGATGGGGGAGGCAGATGTGCTCTGCAGCCAGACGTGACTCCTGCTGCAGGCTTCAGCAACTCTTTTATCGGGCATGCCCCCCTCACACACATGGAACCAGAACCACTTCTTTCCCAATCCTGCCAGGAAAACTGAATCCTACTCACAGGGCCAGCCTAGCTCATGAGACACTCAACAAGAGTGGTGCAGGAGACACAGACCCTCCCTTCAGCCTTTCCTTGGCTTCGCTCTATCCCTGACACCTGCAAGACACCAGGCACCAAAGCCAATTTATTATTATGAAGGTGTGGAAAGAGCAGCAATCTCCCTCAGACGAGCTCTGTGGCAGGGAGGGGCTGACAGAGCCGCTGCAAATGTGGCATCCAGAAGAACAGAAGTGTGACAGGAACTTCAGCAAGCAGAGGATTCCCCTGCTGACCGCAGGGCTGGTCCTGACCCCCGGCTGCAGGCACGCAACTCCTGCAGATCTGTGCTCCTTAGCGCAAAGGAGAAAGGTCCTTTTTAAAGGACAGTCTATCTAATCTCTTGAAAAAAGGAGCCATAATTCCTTGGAAAAAGCACTCCCCTCTGCTCCCACGGGGAGAGGTGAAAGAAACCCTCACATTTAACACTTCCTGCCGTAGAGGTGCTGGCTCCACACAGCTGATCAGACGAAGCAGCAGGTCCATCATTGCAGACGTATCAATGTGCTTTAGCACCAGGCTAATGAATTTATCTTTTTTCCTCAAAAACGTGATCACCTAAAAAAAAAGTCACACGTGAGCTCACTGTCCAACATGTAAGCAACACTACAAAACTCCCACTACACCCCAAGCCCTTCTTTCAACCAGCCAATCCTAACATGAAACAGTTAGTACTATAAATAATTCTTCCTGAGAAAAAAGACAAAACAGGAACACGTAGCTGCAAGGGCATACCAAAATGAGTTCCTTTAATGGTCTCTTCCAATATGAAAATGATTCTTCCCCTCTATTCTGCACTGGGGAGGCCACATCTGGAGTCCTGTGTCCAGTTGTGGGGCCCCCACTACAGAAAGGATGTGGACAAACTGGAGAAAGTCCAGCGGAGGGCAACAAAAATGGCTGGGGGCTGGGGGACAGGACTGGTGAGGAGAGGCTGGGGGAACTGGGCTGATTCAGTGTGCAGAAGAGAAGATTAAGGGGGGGATATGATAACAACCTTCACCTCCCTGCAGGGGGTTGCAAAGAGGATGGAGCTGGACTATTCTCAGTAGGGGCAGACGACAGGACAAGGAGCAATGGGCTCAAGCTGCAGCAAGGGAAGTTGAGGGTGGAGATTAGGAAAAAACTCTCACTAGGAGGGTGGTGAAGAACTGGAACCAGCTCCCCAGAGAGCTGATAGAGTCTCCATCCTTGGAGGTTTTGAAGACCCGGGTAGACAAAGCCGTGGGATGATGTAGTTGGGGCTGGTCCTGCTTGGAGCAGGGGTTGGACTAGATGTCACCTTCTGAGGTCCCTTCCAGCCCTCGCTGTCTGTGATTCTGTGATTTCTATGATTCTATGAACATCTTGCCCCACCAAGATTAAGAAGCTGGAGGACACTAATGAAGATGCAGATTCTGAATCCCACTGGTGCACCCTGCTATGAAATGTCTCTATGTTAAGAGCTCAGACTGGAGTTCACTTATCCCTGATCAATATAGGGCAGTGTTCCCTATACTTAGGTTAGTTCCTAAACTTTTTCTCTGGTCACTCCGTTTCTGGTTATCAGTGCCATTTCTGGTTTCATAGGGTTTGAGGGGGCCTCAAGGGTCATCTATGGTCCAACTCCTTTTTGGGTTGGGGGTTGGCATTGTTAGAGTTGCAAGAAAACCTCCTTGGCCTGTGAGCGTCTCCTCGGCCTGGGAGTCTAGCAGGGCTATTAGGAAGGCCAAGGCAGAGATGGAGCTCAGGCTAGTGTCCAGGATTAAGGACAATAAAAAGTCCTTTTTCAAGTACATTGGGAGCAAGAAGAGGGCACCAGGCAATGCAGGGCCTCTACAAGATTCAAATGGTAATCTTGTGGCTATGCCAGATGAGAAAGCCGATATTTTTAACAGTTTCTTTGCCTCTGTTTCCTTGAACAGGGACCGGGACATCCCTCCTCCCAGAGGTAGGCACAATCTCGGGGATAGCTCTGGCAGGCCTTCGGTCAGTGCAGATGTAGTTAGGGATCTTCTGGAAGGGATGGACATTTTTAAATCTGCAGGTCCAGATGCCCTCCACCCAAGGGTGTTGAGGGAGCTGGCAGGGGTCATTGCGGAGCCCTTGGCCCGGCTGTATGAGCATTCGTGGTCATCTGGCCAGGTGCCGGGGGACTGGAAACTAGCCAACGTGGTCCCCATTTTCAAGAAGGGGAGGAAGGAGGACCCAAGTAACTATAGGCCTGTAAGCCTCACTTCGGTGCTCAGGAAGATCTTGGAGAGAATCATCCAGGAGCACATCTGTGGGGGGCCGGCAGGGGAGATCATGCCCAGGGGAAATCAGCATGGGCTCATCAAAGGCAGGTCCTGCCAGACCAACCTTATTGCCTTTTATGACCAGGTGACTAAATCCTTGGATGATGATGTCGCTGTGGACGTAGTCTTTCTGGACTTTAAGAAGGCCTTTGACACTGTCTCTCACCCCATTCTCATCAATAAATTAGGCGACTGTGGCACTGATGCCTACACAGTTGCATGGGTAAAAAATTGGCTGATGGGGCACACCCAGAGAGTAGTGGTGGATGAGTCGTACTCAACCTGGCGAGATGTGAGCAGTGGGGTCCCCCAGGGCTCGGTCCTCGGGCCCACACTGTTTAACATCTTCATCAGTGACTTGGGTGAGGGGGTGGAAAGCACGCTGTCCAAGTTTGCTGATGACACTAAGATGTGGGGCGAG